CAGGTTCTGTGAATGGATTCAGGTAGCTTCAAGGAAATGTTGATGGTTTAAAGGGAAGGTTTGTGAGTCAGTTAATTGTTGGATCCATCGTCTGTTATTGTTGTGATGTGTTGAAGATCACAGGGAACCATGCTGCCGACAAGAATGGCAATGCATCTGTCTGTTAATCATCGGTTCAGGCTGTAATATATCAACAAATGTGGAAGGGATTGATAGAAACATTTGTACAAACATTTGTGGTTCCTAGACGATGACTCCTACTAACTTTAGAGTTACCTTGACTTTTCACCCACTGAAAATGGTACTGTAAAATGCTAACACACTTAACGAAGATGGCGAACCCCTGCCAGGCTAGCTAAACTAGTATTAGCATTTAGCTCAAGGCGCCTCTGTGCCTAAGTACAGCCTCACAGAGCTTTTTAGCAGGGCTTTAGACCAGTGCACCAAATACGCAGGGTCCATTGACACTTGAGACCCCCTGAAAGCCTCAACAGCAAAATTGTTTGTTTTAAAAAAACCTTAAACTCTGTATTCTCTGATGAAGGTCCTTTAGACTGAAAGCATAAAGTGTACTCTGCATAGATCTAAGTGTGCAGATATCTCTTCTGTCAGTTTTAATTTTTTGATACTTCGAGCACCTTAGCTAAGATCAAGCCAAGGGGAGCGGTGATTATCCTGCGTTTTCAAAAAAATATATTTCAAAAAATGGTCCGTCGGTAAAATAGCTTACTAATGTCCAGCAGTATTAATTCCTCAAATTGCAAAACATTAATTCACGGATATGAATATATGTTTGAGAAAGGATTTTCTGCCATAAATGACGCAGCGCAGCCAGCAGGTATTTCGCACACTGCTGTACTCTTTTTTTAAGCATATGACTGAGACTTGTTTGGGTGACTTGACCGCAACAGTCACAGTAGGATTAAGACAATGCATAATAAAAGGTAAATAGGACAGATTGAATTTAATGCACAGTAATTCACCATGCCTGTCTTTTTCATTTGAGTGTTTGCGAGTGTTTCTTAACACAGTGACTGGGCGACTCAAGAGCTCATTTGAGCATGTCATTTGATTTGTGTATTGCTGTTTGGGCTATACTTTCGTTTATATAAAGATTCTGATTTTAACAATCACCCGTAGCCCATATATGCTTCCTCAACAGTGACAAGCAAAAGAACTGACCTGCTGGGAAAGACTAGACAGAAAGGCAACACACTACCTCGACTGAGCAATGACGTCAGACGTCCTCTCACAGTTCAAACACAAGAAGCCTTATTAACATTAAACAGGCAGGATATTTGCAGCTATAATTTTAAGTGCACAAAGACTTTCATTGCTCTTGTTTGCAGTTACATGCCACTTAACACCTTTCTGAAACCACTGTAACACCTTTCAAGCTCCTGCAACTATTGACACACTGGTGTTCGCTTACAATACCTGCGGTTTTTATCTATGCACCTCGCCTTGTATTTTATTGTTTCTAAAAATGATGTTCTTGCAGCAGATGGGGGTTGGAAAAATGACCCTGACTGCATGAAGGTAATTCATATGTATTATTCATCTCTGCCTCTTCCATTTATACCTTACAGTTGGCCAGAGTTGTATACGATGAAGTAGCCAGCATACAGTACACCCTGCATGAGAGGCTGCTTGCTGCACTCTTAAGCTGTTATTACATGTTTTGCGTTCTCATGTTACTGCTTGCACTGATAATGAGGATGATTCAGCTTTATGTTTTCCGTTTTATTTGACATTTAAGGCTATTCATTAGATTCATCAGAAGCTTTATATTCCTTTCTATCAAAATCAGTCATAATGTGGGGAAATGTATAGTGTGCATGATATGCATCTCCTTTGCTGCTGTTTTACTGATGGGTATCCTCTCTGCAGGAGCATAATGTGGTGTAAATTAGTCATTATTGTAGTTATGAAACAGCAGCAGAGCATGTCCACTCGTCCTCACTGATTTACAGAGAAAAAGGTTGAAATGTTGCCACATGGTCTCTGAGCCTGTCATGGAGGAAGTCATTTTTCTGCGGCACCATTGCTTTCAGATGTGGTCAAACGGCACGGTCTCCTGATGCAAAAAAAAGAACACACATCTTCTGAAAATGAAGTGTTTTGAGAGAAATGACTCTTGGGGGGAGAGTCCCTTCATGGAGACAAGTAATACAAACTCACAAAGAGAAAGCAGTGTGGGAGACAAGAAGCAGTTGCATAAAGTTTAAAGTTTTCCATCAGAAGGGACCACCAAATACAGAGCTGACAAACGATCGGTCACACAGTATGTACACATGCACTATAGTGCTCAGAGCAAACTTTATTACTCATTAAATTTGCATTGCATCTAAATCTCTGCTCAGGTTGTACTAAAATGTTTCACTGACATCAAGCAGAATTAATTAGAATGTTTATACGAAGTAATGAAATTATATCATTACTTCAAGCCTGAAATGATCAAATATTGATGCGTGTTTTGTATATTTTTAGCCTTGTACATCCTCATTTGTTGTAACAGCTGGCTTATTGAACAATATGATCAAGAGAGCACCGGGTATTTTCAAGCTTTAAAGAGCAGCATCTTAAGTAATAATGAGAGTGAGAAATGCAGTGCATTTAAGTGAAAACCCTGATTAATTATGTATGATTAGAGGACTCTTAAAAGCTTTGGGGAGAGAAAAGAAAGAAACTACATGAACAGAACACGAAGTCCAGAATGGCTGGATGGATGCGAGACGTGAAATTGTAAATGAACCTTAAGTATACAGGTGACTGCAGAATGATGGGAGATATTGCTTCTGCGTGGCTGGACACTGGCTGACCGATTGTGTTCAGGTCATGTCACACTTACTGTCCATTGCTTGCAATTTTTATATAAATCCTGTGTTTTATATTTGCAATTTAGCTAACTACTAAAATACTAAATGTAGGGTAAGTTAACTTTTGCCCCATGTGCTGAATAAAAAATCCAATAAATTATTTTTTTAATCAAGATGTGTGATTACGATGGATACAGAAATTCTGCAAATGTCCTTGTATTCATCTAAGTCTTATTTGACTGCGGTCTAGATGTAACTAATATTAGGTGTGCAGTGTAAATACAAGAGAAGATAACACTGTTTTCCCGGTATATTCCAGGGAGCTACATGTATGTTTTTATCAAAGATGAGTCACTGAGCAGAGGTCATTTGGAAATATCGTTTCAGCTTGGAATACATTCAGGTCGTGCTATACACCCCCGATAACTTCTACAGACCTCTGTTGTTCCTCTTTCAGCCTTCCTTTCTTTTCCCCACTCTTCCTCCTTATCAGTAGCATCATGCATGTTTTCACCTCTAAAGTGATTGTACCTGATTTATATGACAGGCCTTTAACCCCGCGTGTGCTTGTCCATCAACATCAGGCAGAAAACACCCAAGGGCATGTGTGAGCAGGACCAAATCTGGCTCTCTGTCATGCAGTGGCTGTAACCTCCAACTAAAATGCACTCCAACAAATCACATTTATTCCTGCACTGTTGGGATGTGAGTCAATCGCAAAAAGTGAGAAGTGCCTGGTGGTATACATCCAAAAATAGACTTGCCTTTTAGCAACGATATTACTGAATTGTTTATTTTTGACAAAGTACATCTATGGTTATATAAATCATAGGAATAGAGAGGAGCCTACTCTGTATGTACAATGATTTGGCAGTTTGAACGAGGTCATAGCATTTGGATCTTTAGATAAGGCCTGCAAAATTAGTTTGGTTATAAAAGGAGGAGCTTAGAATGAAAGAGTACTCACATGGCTGAAAACATGAATTTCTAAAATATTGTAATGAATTCAGAGATTACGGGGAAGTAAACAAAACTGAACGTTGTCTCCACCTGCAGTCAGTAGATGGCATCAGAAGTGAATGCATTAATGTTGTAATAGCCCCACTTACTGGTCATGAATAATAGCACAGGCTAAAATGAGCTTGTGAAGGGTTTCCATCAGTAGGCCTGATGCTGATATAGTTACTGGATTACTTGATCAACAGAAACCAAATCACCAACAAATTGAATAATCAATTGATTATTAGTTGATCACTTATTGAACAAAGAAGCCAAATATCATTGGCTCCAGTTTCTAAAATGAGAGGATTTGGCCATTTTCTCTGTTTGATATCATTATATATATTTTTTCAAAATAAATGCTAAACTGATTGAACAAAATAATAATACGAAATCTTGATAATTGTTATCTGAAGCCCTGATATTAAAAGGAGAGTGGAAGAAGTACTCCTTGCTATTACTCACTAATTACTTAAAGGGACAGGTCACCCCAAAAATGAATATACATGTTGCTTAAAACGCCCAAAAAGCACATTCAAAAATCATATAGTCCTATTATATTGGAGAGAAAGCAGACATCTCTACTGCCGATACCTCCAAAACTATAGGCAACTCACACCAAAATAAACTAGATTGACAAATAACCTTCCTGGCAAGATGAAAAATATAATTTTTTGATATAGGGGTGAACTGCACCCCTATATTAAAGTGAAGCAATAACAAAGTGTCCTCGATCAATTGAGTCGAGTGAAAAGCACTGCACAATATTTTATATAATGCATAAAAAGTATCCTATTAAGTAGCACAAAATATATATACTTAAAGTCCTACTCACTCAAGTACAGTGGGTTACTTACTTGTATTACTAAACTGATTAAAAGTCAGATGAAATAACTCACTTCGTTGATTAATATTCTAGGTTGGTCCCCTATGCAACTAATGTCCTTTTTTTTGGACATATTTTGTCACTTAGCCTCGAAAGCCAGACACAAGCTTTGATTTATCTCAAACTCAACTGCAAGACATTTGTATAAAACCTGAGTAAACAACCCTATTCGTGGACAAAATTATGATAATATATTGTTTCCGTCGTCCCTCGGAAACGGATCTTTGTAGAAATTTCAAAATATAAGTCATCTTCCTCCGTGATCACGTGACCCCTCTGTTTACAGGCATCCGGAGAAACATGGAGGACACCGCTGGCAGTAATCCCCAATCTCTCGGATTTACAGAGAAATTAAAGTCTTGGCTCTCTTGGTCATGGACCTACGTGTGCTTCATTTGGTTCGGCATGGTGCTGATCATGATATACGTCCTGTGGAGCCCGCTGAAACTGCAGGAATCTCTTACCTCAGGTGAATTAATGCAGCTGCTAGCTAGTTATTGTTAGCCTTCGGGTATCTGGCTTTAGCTGACAGCAAGCGCGAGCTGTTGGTTTGACAGTTCGGTGTCGGACTCATTCAAGCACAAATAGTAGCGACTCTCTGGTTGTATTTAAATCAAGTTTTTACACATCTATTGCGTCTTTGTTGTATTATTTTCTGACAGCAGGCTGTATTGCATGTAGTCATAATTCGGTAGGTTATTGTTGTATTACCAAGTAGGCTTCTTCACTCCTCGTATAGTCAAGATACTGTATGTGGCTACATGTCACCTGCTATTCGAGACCCACTTCCAGTGTTTGTTTTTATTCTGTTGGCACCGGCATGTATTTTAGTGCATGGTCACAACAGTGGACACTGACTTCTCTCAGTTCTGGTTCTACTATGACACTATCCTGACTGTCGCCTCTTCTTCTTCTTCTTCTTCTTCTTCTTCTTCTTCTTCTTCTTCTTCTTCTTCTTCTTCTTCTTCTTTCAGCCTCAGTGTTTTTGAATACACTGACCCCCAAATTCTATGTGGCTCTCACTGGAACCTCTTCTCTCATCTCTGGACTCATCCTTGTGAGTTATCGTCTCAGTTATTCCTCACACCGTCTAATACATGTTAAATAGTCACCCCTTTGTAAAATGACATTTGCTCATAGGCCTCTTAGCGGACACAATTTGCAGTGACCTCGCCTTAACTTTCAAATTCGTATTCAGGAATCCAAGATTAGACACGTGTGGGTGGAAGCATAGTTTTAGAGTGTCACTATTAAATGCAAGGCTGTAATGAAAAATAATTATATTAGACCCATTGCTGTTGTTCCTAATACGGGAAGGCGCAAAGCCATTGAAAGGGAGACAAAACATTATGAAGCAGATAAAAAGTTGAATTCATTTGAATTATTTGGGAGCAAATAAACAAACACGAGTGCTTTAATGTTGGCACGGTTGTGTTAATTCAGGTTAGCAAGACTAATGCAGAGCGATAAATGCCATGTAATGTACAAGATGGACAGATTTATGCTGAAAAACAAAATGATGCGCCTGTCTTGCTCTCTAATTAATTGGGATTGTAGCCACAGAGCTTAGTTTGTGTTTTACGGCAGTGTGGACAGAGTTTAAGGCGCACAAGTTAAATCCATTTTTTTTGCAGCTTCCACAGGGGGGGCAAGACATGAAAAAATAAACCACTGTTCTAGTGATATGATAGCAATTGCCACTAAGATATAACTCAGACATTTTTGTAAAGCATGTCATCACCGTGTGTGTTCTCCCCGCAGATATTTGAGTGGTGGTATTTTCGTAAATATGGGACCTCGTTCATTGAACAAGTGTCAGTGAGCCACCTGCGTCCTCTTCTGGGTGGAGTGGAGAGCAGCTCCTCTACTGGTCTGTTTGCATCAGTCAATGGAGAGGCAGAGCCTAGGCCCAGTGTTTCAGGTAGATATGTATATAATACAAACTATACCAGCGATACTACTCATAATACCACAAGCACTAACATCAATGACATCCTTTCGGCAGAGTGTAAGGTCTGGAGGAACCCTTTGAATCTGTTCAGAGGAGCGGAATACAACAGGTATGTGTGACTCAGGTATTTATTTAGCTGAGTAGAAGGCATCTAACAGTACTTTAAAATGGATGGTTCATAATGTCTGTTTATAAATACTTTGTAACTTCGGTGAAGAGGAATTTGGTTTAATTTCATTTGATTCATTGTGGAGCATGAAACATTTTTACATCTTACACTACAGGTACACCTGGGTAACAGGGAAGGAACCCTTAACATACTACGATATGAACCTGTCTGCTCAAGACCACCAGACCTTCTTCACAGGAGACACTCCGCAGATAAGACCAGAAGATGCTGGTGAGTTAGAATCAAATACAGACTAAATCCGTTTCGACCGTACAAGCAAGACTGCCAGCATATTCTGTTGGAAGAGATTTCTTTGGCACTTTATAAATGTTCATATGGAACTGCTTTTTGTTTTTTGTGGTGTTTTTCTGTTGACTTGGACACCTGCAATTAAATATGTCATCTGGTCGCATCTGTAATAAGTCAAATCATGTCTCAACAGTGATGCAGAAAGCCTGGAGGGAGAGAAATCCTCAAGCCAGGATCAGAGCAGCTTACCAGGCCATAGAAATGAACCAAGAGTGAGTCCTGCTCTTCCACACTTACATATTTCCTCCTTAAATACTGTGTCTATCAACACAATACTGTAACTTCTAAAACTGTTGTTGCTGAATAGCACATATACATTCATTTAGTCATATTATGGCCTTTTTATGGGCGGTTTTATGTTTTTTCATGTGCATGCAAACATCCCATTTGTGTGCAGGTGTGCTGCAGCGTATGTGCTTTTAGCAGAGGAAGAAGCAACAACCATCACAGAAGCTGAGCGCCTCTTCAAAAAAGCACTAAGTATCGGTAAGAATGGATTAAAATCTGCATTAAGTACTCGCAATGACTGAACCATGAGGCACAGTAGCAGCAAGATAGCTAACCAGTTGAGGAACAACTACACCTAATGTACTGCTACACACCCGGTGCTGTGCAGCACTTCAAAATGCACATTGAGCAACTCCACGAATTGTGTTATGAATAGAATAGACCACATCTGTTCATGCCTGCCTGTGATTGAGGATGTAATCCCAAGTGTGTGTACAGTCCATCAATACGTCCGTGCTTTTTCTCTGCACACGTTTGAAGTGGTATCATACATAATCAAACAAATCAATCCATGTTTGTCATGTTTTTAACGTCTATGGATTGTTAAGCCTTTTGTGCATCAAACGTCTCATGTTTTCCTTTTTTTGCCATCCACAGCTGGAAAAGACATCAACTTACTGGTGTACATAAAACGCAGACTGGCAATGTGTGCACGCAAGCTGGGTCGGATTAAAGAAGCGGTGAAAATGATGAGAGATGTGAGTTTCTGTCCAAAAACTTGCTTATTGCTATAGTGGGCTATTTGTGGAATTACGCATGCAACTGAGTACCGGAGGCAACATACGGTATTCACTGTATTTAGAACAATGGCAGTACAGTAGTACTACTGACAAATTGTATTGTTAATGTATGGTGTTTCTTCTCTTTACAGTTAATGAAGGAGTTCCCACTTTTGGGAATGTTAAATATACATGAAAATCTCTTGGAGGCCCTTCTAGAGCTTCAGGCATATGCCGATGTCCAAGCAGTCCTCGCCAAATATGACGGTAACACTGAGCGCAATAATAATATTTTCATGTTCGGACAGAACCGAGCTCAGTGCCATTTAATCGATCTTGAAAATGTATGACACATGTCACATGACCCCAATTTCTTCTTCCATTATAGACATCAGCTTGCCAAAATCAGCCACTATATGCTACACATCTGCACTGTTGAAAGCACGGGCTGTATCAGATAAGTACGTGTCCGTATTGGTTCATGTAGTTTTAAATATATCTTTTCATCCTTGCATGCAATTCAACATGAGTATCTCTTAAACGAGTTTCATTTGTCTCAGGTTCTCTCCAGAGGCCGCGTCACGGCGAGGGCTGAGCACAGCAGAGATGAATGCTGTGGAGGCCATACACAGAGCTGTTGAGTTCAATCCACACGTGCCAAAGGTCAGTTATTAGACTCATCATAATAATAACCCATTGATCACTTAATGCTGGGCTTGTTCCCGCTCCTGTTCCACAATTACCAAAGACTTATTTTTGAGTTTAAGTCTATGTTTCGGGCCGCATGTTTCCAGTTTTGTTTCCCCACACTCAATAAAAATGTGTGCGTTAAAGTGTATTTCCATCCACGCAGCTGCTATGCTGCAAGTGGTTTGGGTAGATTTTTTGAATCACATCAGTTCTATATTTAGTCTGATCACACAGGTCTCACATGTCTGCCAAGCGTCACGGTCACATGCAGAACAATCAGTCAGACAATTCTAGGTGAGGTGCGTCTGCAGTAACAGGTGGTGCGACCTAATAGAGCTTAAATAGAGCAGATGCTTCCATCCAGACATGATGTATAGTGTCCCAACAGCAGGTGTCAGTGTCGGTCTTAATACTTAGCTCTTAATTCATTCGATCACACCTGACGTGTCACCTTAAGCACTTACAGCTGCATTTATATTTGTCTATTATGTCTCTATTTCAGTCATTTGGGTGATTATTGTATTCAGTATTTATCAATTCAATACAATTAAATGGGACAATATAGAAAACATTCGCCCTGATCATCAACTACTGTCACAAGAACACGTATTTTTGGATTTATACATGCATTGTGTGTTTTTACTGATAGTGTAAAAAAAGAAACTGTAAACATACAACAGACTGGTCCCAGTGCAGAGCAGCTCTCTATAGAACTGAACCAGGGAGAACATTGGACTACAACTGGATATCTCTCTGGCCTTTCCCATCAGTTCCCACAGGATTAGATGACACACACACACACACACGCAGTCGTACACAACTAGTTGCAGCAGAGGTTTGTCTCCGATTAGCCTTTGTAGTGTGGTGTTGTTTCATCTCACGGACTGAGAGACGGAAAGAGAATGTGTGTGTGTGTGTGTGTGTGTGTGTGTGTGTGTGTGTGTGTGTGTGAGTGTGAGAGAGAGAGAGAGAGAGGGGGGGGGGGGCGTCAGCACTTTGATCCAGCCTTTGATTTTTTTAAAGTGAGGGCCCTCATTTTCAACGTCGTTCCAACTGCTCCCTCCCCACTGTGCCCAGAGGCAGCCATCCTCTCTCCTCTCATCACGTACCCTCATCCTGTTTCTTATCCTCTCATGTTCCCTCATCCCCTGTCGGAGCCAAACAGAGAGTCTGATGTTGGCCACCACTGTCAACTTTAGGGCGTTTGTAACACACCTTTCACAGAAGGGTTATTGGGAGGCTCATCTTTCAGTGTTTGACTGGCATCTGGTACTTACTCAGGCCTCATAACAGAGTTGTGTTATGTTTTTTTTGACCTGCTGTATGTGAAAATGTAACAGAGGGAGGTGGGGGGGGGGGGGGGGGGGGGGGG